ATGTATATATATACATACATCCATACATATATATATATATATATATATATTCCTTCCCATCCATCATCAGTCAATCAACCCATCCATTGTGTATCTCACATTCCCAACCCAACCCAATCCATGCGGTCTCAGGTACGAGCATCGCCACGCCATTCGTCACCGGTACAGCGGCTTTGTACCTGAGCCAGTTTCCGGGGGCCACCTCAGCACGTGTTAGGGCCGCTATTCTGGATAATGCCATAACTGGGGTACCCAAAGCAGGGAACAAGCTGGTGCATGCGGTTTGGGGTACTCCTCCGGGCTACAGGGTGTGTGAATCCGAGCCGTGTGAGAACGATGGGCTGTGTCGGAGGGACAGGTATAGCAGATATATATATATATATGTGTGTGTGTGTGTGTGGAAGGATGCATTAGATGTTGGTCTGCTGGGAATATTCCTCCCAATTAGGGTAAGTGCGACGATGAGGTGTGTGAACTTGTCGTCGGAGGGTCATGTGTAATTGATTTATACTTTTGTCTTGTGTGAATGGCTGAGTTCGTAAGTACACTGTAACGGTTTAATTTGTTGTACGCGCCTATGTGTGCTATCCCTCTCTCTCTCTTTGGAAGAAGTGAGCGGAAAACAAATATGCAACTCAAGCATCAGAATCAAAGGTTATGCTCAGCTGCGGAGTTTTAGTATTATTGCTTGCATGTGAAACGTCCTAAATAGTCTATTTTTATCTGCTCTAGTGTGTGAGCAGTTACGGCCAGTGCTACAAGGAGGTGATAGTGGGGTACAGCAAACGTATACGTCAATTCTAAGGCATTGTGCAGGTGGTGTCAGTGACTGTATCAGATTCACACTATTAGTCATAGCCTTCTATATTGAACAAGAAGGGTAACGCCATTCTCGTGTCTGTGTGTTTTACTCCGGCTATATATAGCAAAATCATGGGTGTGACAGCCCAAGTTGTCCTTGGGATCGACGGGTGAGCTATTTGGAGGGACGGCGCACAACCCGAACAGTTCTATTTAGCAAGCATTGGTCTGTGTCTATGTGATCATAGCACGCACCTGTACACGTTTAATAGCCACACCTCTGCACACACATAAGTATACTGAGGTGTCTCCTCCGCACATATCCACACAGTCTGCAGCAGAAGGGGTTCGTATGCACATGCGAGGCAGGGTATCAAGGGGACTACTGTGAGATCGATGCCTCGGTGTGCGAAACAGTGCAATGTAACAACAATGAGGTGTGTGAGGTGACGGCATTGGGAGCGGAATGTGTCTGTCCGGCGGACAAGGATTGCTCTGTCACTGCGCGTAGCAGGCAACTGATTGTCTGTGATGATTCGGAGGTATGTGATACAATATTTTCGGACACACATACTTGTAAAAAGAATTATATATATATATATATATATATATATATATGTGTGTGTGTGTGTGTGTGTGTGTGTGTGTGTGTG